CCCCCCCGCCCGCCGGCAGCGCGCCGCCGGTGTCCGCCACCGGCGCGGTGGTGCGGGCAGCGTCCCGCCGGGGCCCTCCCGTCCCCGGGACCTCCCCGCCGCCGGTGCCCTGGGCACCCGAAACGTGTGTTGGGATCGTCTTCCCTTTGGGGGTTTTCCATCCCTAAATAACCGCGCCGGTGTCCCCTGCGTAAGAGTCCCGCAAAGGTCTCCCAGAGCTCCAACAAAGGGTGCAGGTGTTCCCTCGCCAACTCACCTAGCTGCCGCGGATCGGCTTCCCGACGCTTTCCTAACCAAAGGGCAGGTTTGGCCAAGGAGAAGCAGCAGATCAGGTAATTTAAGAGCAGCACGGAAAGCCAAAAGGCGCTGGATTTACCCAGCTGGTGGTGCAGGTCTCCCATGCCGAAACGGTGGGAGCACAGGTGATATGCGAGGGAAGCAGTGCTTCAGTTGACTTCCAGAAATGCTTCAGGAGGTCAGACAAGCAAATCTGCAGTATGAGTCTTGCCATGGCCTTGTATTAGTCAGGTGAAAATAGTCTGACCCTTTGACACCAGAGTCTTAGAAGGAGTCAAAGTAATTCTTCCGTTTTCACCAGATGTTTTAGAGCTCAGGAACATAACTGGACTTAAGGAGATCTGCTTGAAGTAAGATTAGCCAAGATTAAAATAATCTTGGTAAAGTCATAAAATTTTCCAGTGATTATCTTAAAAAGGGATCTTTTATTATGTGTTCACTAATGATCTTGGACCTCTCAATGGACTGCTTTGGATAATTGTATAAGGCAAGTGAGTTGACATAACTCTTGTTTTTGAAAACTGGAAATTACTTTGGACTCCTTCAGCAGATGCTCTGTCTTCTGAAGCTGTTACACTTTGCTGTATCTTGGCAGTTACTGCTGAGATAATAGGCCATAGCAGGTTTTTTGAAGATAAGCAGTTTATTAAGCGGTGAAGTTTCTGTAATCTGTTCTTCTAGACACAACGTGGGATTTTCTGTGCGTGGAAAAATCTTCAGGAATTTATTTGTATACCTCTGAAGAAAATGTCAGGCAGTAGACATTTTGCATCAAAACCGGTCAAATTACTTTTCCTGCTGAGGAAAGAACTGTGAACAGACATTCAAAGGGACAGTCTCAAGGAAAAGAAAATGTGGTTGTATTACTGTGTAGGACAGTGACCATCTTCAGATGCTTATTTTGGGGTGACAACTGAAATGTTGTAGCCCTGGTGTGTGTGTGCTGTGTCAATCAACTTACTTGTGTGCTGTAATGCATCATGCTGTCCTTTCTCATGAGCCTAAAGGCTTTTGCTCTGAGACTTTTGAGCTGAACCCTTGTATCTACTTCCATTCACATGGGAGGTCTAATTCAGAAGTCTCTTTAGCTGGTTGTTGTACCACTAAAGGAATTGCAAGAGTTTACAGTCCTGCCCTTGATAAAGCAGCATTCTCTCTTGATTACCTGATATTGACCTAAGGAGGAAGTATCCATGACAGCCATCTCAGGAAATAATTCAGGCTTTGTTGAGAACAAATACAATTATATTAAGTAAACACTGTCAAAGACAAAATCTAAACAGAATATCTGATTAATGAGGAAATAATTCAGTCTTTGTTGAGAACAAATACAATTAAGTAAACACTGTCAAAGACAAAATCTAAACAGAATATCTGATTAATTAGCTAGATCAGCTGTTTACTTGCCTTTGTGATATATATGAGAGTAACACATGCTGCTTCATCATTTTCTGTGGAACATTATTGTTATTACTGAATTCATGTTTTGGGTTGGATTGCTTTCCACCTCTGAAACTGCTCAGGTAAGGGTTATGAATTAAACAGTAATGACTGTTGCCTACTAATAGTACTCTGGCATATTAGTGGGAAGCTGTCAGAGCCCAGGAATATGTCCGGAGGTTGGGACCTGCATTCCCTGCATCGTGTTAGGAAAGGCTGAGCTGAGCTTGTGTCTTGGAGTGTGCTCCCTGCAACACCTGGGAACAGTGTGTGCCTTGGTACAGCTTCAGCATAAAGGAAGTAGGAGTTTCATCCTAACTGCTTCTCAGAAATGCAGTGGTGTGCTCTTTGTTCAGTTGTAGGAATGTGTGTGTTTGCTCTGTTGTCAGTTGCCCAAAAGTTTGTTAAGCTAAAGATGACAGATAAATCTTTTTCCTGTACAACACTCTCCTCCCTTTTCTTGCGCTCCAAGCTCTAACCAACAAATATGAAATTCCTTGTCAGACAGTACCAGCCTAAAATAGAATTCAGCTTTTTTAGCTAACTTCAGGCAGTATCCTTTTCCTCTCTGCAGTGTAACCCTGGGCACTTTTTAATAACACCAAAGCATTAAAGATGCAAAGATGAAAAGATCTGCTGTGTTGTTCTTTTTTATGTTTATAACCTGCAATGTTTTCCTGCCCGCAGCAGCAGACAATAGGTAATAAAGAAAAATCTTTCAGTGTTATAAATATGTACCTTAAAAAAATATCCTTTCAAATACTGTGGGGTTTTTTTACTGATTTAAAAGATTTCAGAGGTCTTTCAGAAAGTAAAAATGATTAATGTACAGAGAGTTTTCAAAACAAAAATGAAAGTGGAGAAGTAGGAAGGAAATGAGAACAGAGTGGTGCTAACAGTATGACAGATAGTTGGAGATAGCGCCTCTCTTTCCAATAGAAGACTCACTGACGCATATGCAGAAGTTGGGAGGACAGAACTGTTCTCTGGGTAACCTCACTTAGAACTTCCTCCAAGAATCCATTTGAGGAAAAAGTGCTTGTGGGATTTGGAGTGAGAGATTAAGTATTCATTTGCATTATCAGAAATATCTAAAGACAAACTTAACTCTGATCCTTAAGAACTTTCAGTTTCCAATCTAAATCAAATCGAAACAATGAAAATATATCAAGGTCTGTTCTGAGAGTCTTAACTGCATATCTGCTTTTGTGTAAGTAATGATCCCTGCTATCTGATAGGGATTCCAAGGATGTGAGAAAAAAATTGGTAGAATCATTGATTTGATTACTATGTTGTGTCTTTTGGATGCTTTCTGATACCTTCTGGTCTTCTGGATCACGGGGTCACAGTTCTGAAGCTAGCAAGAAATAACTGAGAATCATCAAATCACAGAAGATGCTGATTTGGAAGGGACCCATCAGGATCATCAATTCTAGATCCTGGGCCTGTGCAGGACACATCAGGAGTCACACCATGTGCCAATCACACCACTGAGGCCATTCATGGTAACAAGATTGCTGTAGGGATCCCAGCTACAGTATTTGTTGTTCTCCAGCGAGATGTGTTGCTAATGATCAGCCTCAGAGGTACAGCCTTAAAGCTGCTGTTGTCAAGGAGTAGGTAGTACAGCAGGCAGAACCAATGGGCTGAAACTGTAAAGAAAGATTTGTTACTGAAAAGTTGAAAGCTTATTTAAAGGAGTAAGTGTCCTGTAGGTCAACTTAATCTCTCCAAATCTGACCAATTACAAATCACCCTATTAATTTGTCTGTATGAAGGACAGTAAGGAAAAGTGCCCAGTGTGTTCCTAGGGTCCAGATGGAGATTAGTAAGGTAGTAAAAGATTTGCTGGAAATGTGTGCCTGACCTTGCACAAGGCAGAAATATAGTGATGAGACTGCTGAACCCACAAAAGAAACTCCGTAGTCTGTCCTGTTCACAGGTGCAATGAGGAGAACTTCCTGAAAATTTGGCACCGGCTGCTTGGCCTTATATCTGGGAACCTGGTGCTTCAGATTTGAAGCATTACAGTAAATTCAGCATTTTCCATAGCCACTACACCTGAGCCACCAGTGGATTTGCCATATATTGAAGGCATTTAATTTTGTGTCTGTAAGTGACATGATTTTACTGGGATTTTGTTTAGGTCTTGTTTGTTTATCAGTAGTTCTCAGACTTTCTGGACCATGTTGCAAGGGCTTTTTCAAAGTGTGCATGAGTAGTTGGGCAACAACTGTCCCCTTCCTTGTCCCACCCCTGAAAGTGTGCATGTCTCGGGTACCAGATGTGCTTAACAGGAGCTCGTGAGGTCAGTCTCCCACCCTTAGACATTTATGCTCCCATTTCCCTGCCAGGACAGCTAACTGTCCTTGCTGCCAGATGTCACTGCAGCCATGCCAGAGTGAGGGAGGAGTGGTTGCCCTTGGATAGGGACAGGAGGCTTTGCTGAGTGCCCTGGTCGGGTGGCAATTCCAGCACATCCCTCTGGTTCAGGAAACCAGATGATGATTGCAGCTGGGGCTGTGGGCCTTCACAAACTGCCAAGTTTAAACATTACAATTCCCATATGGCCGATAGAAGATGGAGAATTTATGATGTGGAGGCAAGAGGTTTAGAAAAATAAGCAGAAATAAAAGCTGAATGGACATTTTCTGAGCTTTTTGGTGACACCCCTTCTTCCCCACTTTTAAGAACTGCTAATATCCTGTATACCTTGGCTTGATTGTCACTGAGATCTTAATGACAAGTTGCAGACTGAACTTCAAGTGTTATTGTGGTTTAAATTAGATTCTTTGTGTGGAAATCCCAAAGGAAATTGTTCACTTTCCCTTAAGGAGTAAGTGTGCTTAGAACAGAAACTGAGACACAGCAATTTGCAGTTGATATCATTACTGGAGGAAAGGCAGGAATTGAAATAAGATAAGAAATTGGATGTACAGGGGCAGTAGTGTTCAGTATTGAAGGGATGCGAGTTTTCTGAATTTAGTAAAAATGTGATCCATGGTGGCACCTAGGTGATTAAATGACAAAATAATCTCTCTCCAATTGTTATGTTTAGTTATCTATACTTAGGTCACTTTTTAAATTGGTTTGCCTTTCTGTAATTGAGTGACACCAACACAAAGGACACTGCATCAGTTCTGCTACTCTGGCATTATCTGAAAGCTGAACACAATCATTCATCAGCTGGGT